ATATTACCATTAAAATTAATATTTATAATTATTTAAATCAATATTTATAACTTATCTTTTATAAAATTTTAGTAGGATTAATTATCATAAATTTTAAGTTATTTCGAATTTTGTGATTTTATTATCATTTCTCATTTTCTCCTTTATAGTTAATGTTGGCATCAGCGTGACGAAGGCTAGCGACTGAAAACTGAAAATGCAAGCCCCGCTCAGCTCAAGGCTTCCAATCAATTTTTTGGTGAAATAATTCCTATTAGTTCTATTATTATTATTATTTTTTTGGATGAAAAGTTCTATTATTAATTTATAATTGCTGTTATGTCAGTGTTGTCGTCGTTGCCGTTCCCTTAGCCCCATCGTTCATGCTGTTTCATTTTTATCTTATGTCATAGTTCATTCTTATTTAAAATATGGGAATATTTAATATTTTAATCTTTTTTTGAAATTTTAAAAGACTTCATTGCCCATCATCATTCCAATACATCTTCAAAATTTATTTAATTAAATAAATATGACAAATTATTTTAGAAATTACCAATGCAATGATTCCTAATAATAAAAACAGTAAATTTATTAAAAATAGTAAAATATTTTTGACATAAATGTATGAAACTAGAAATTATTATGGTCATAAAATATATAAAAATCTATATGCAAGTCCTTATAGTTTTTCTTAATTTTGAATTAAGTCCTAGTAATTTATTTTATTTTAAGTGAGTGTTATAATTTGATCAATTAAATTTTTTAAATCATGAAAATTAAAATTCATGAAATTTTTTTTATAAATTCTAAAAGTATTTTTGTTTAGAAAATTTAATAATTCATTATTAATTTAAATCTTCAAAGACTAATATAATTAATAGATCAAATTATACTCTATCTATTAAAAAATATAAAGTATTTTTAATAGAATTTCACATCCAATAAAGTAGTTACTTATTTTTAAACTAACGATATCTTTTATATTTATTCTTATTAAATATTCTATAATAAATATAAAGTTATTATCAATAAGAGTACTTTTAAAAAAAATTTAATGATTATACCTCAAAAGATTAAAAATATTTTACATTTTTTAACATCTATCTCATCAAAAAATATCTTATATTTTTAAATGGAGGGGAGTAATATTTTAATTAAAATAAAATAAATTATAGAAATTTAATTTAAAATTGAAGAAAAACTATAAGAATTTATAATTAATTCTCCTTAAAATATGTAGTATTTTTTAGTGAAAGATAAAAGAAAATATAACTTTAGGCACCACATTTTTTTATATTTTAATTTTTAAATTTTTATTTTTTATATTTTATATTTTATTCATTTAAAAATTTAAAATACTAAAAAATAAAAGTGTAGAAATTTAAGATATTAAAAAAATATAAAAATTTATAATAAAATATGAATATAGTGCTGGAAACTAAAATTATATTTTTCCTAAAGATAAAATACTAATATTTTTTATAATATTAAGAAAATAGAAGAATCCACGTGGCATTATTTCTGGGAAAGCAAGTGAGCCGCGTGGTGGGGAGTGGGGACCGCATTGTCGTTTGCAGTTGGGACTTGAGAAGGCTCCACCGCCAGACGAGTCACGACATTGACACCGATTTGTTTTATTACTACAATGTTACTCTCTTTGTTTTGGGAGAATGTTAGTTACATTTCAAAACAGTAAATTAATACTTTCTTTTTTAAAAAATATATAATATATTTAATAAAATTTTACTTTTGATAAAGTAAATACTTATTTTTAAATTAATTCTATCTTTTAAATTTATTTATATTAAATACCCTATAATATATATAAAATTATTTATTAATTAGAATTCTTTTAAAATAAAGATAATAATTATACATCAAAAGATTTAAAATATCTTATATATTTAAACGGATGGATTATTAGTTAATTTTTGATAAATTTTTTATAAAACAAATTATAAGCATCAACTTAAACAATTATAAACAAAAATTTTTGTTACAATCTAAAAGTTTCATTTAATATTCAAATGTTTATCTATAACTAAAATTTCTGAATTTGTAATAATTTATATTAATATTTTCAAATTTTTTTAAAAAAATTATGAAGAACTTAATTGGTATTAATTTATTATTTTAGAACCTAAATGCCATTCTTCTCCTTTTTTCCTTTCCCAACTGTAATGTTACTTGCTCAAATATATTATACACATAATTAATAAAAATGGGTTCAGTAGTGTGTTTGGATGTGTAGAAATTTGAATTTAGACAAAATCATTTTATTTAGATATATGAAAGTCCTTGGCCAAATTCATATTTTATTATAATTTATTTATAATTTTAAAATTTTTTTAGACTCTAGTGATTTTCTTTGATTCTATTTATAAGTTACTTCCAACATATTTTATCAAAATTAAGAAAACCTTAAATCTCATCAACTTTATCTCAAATTTTATGGTTAATATGCAATTTAAACTATGACCTATAATCTAAGAGTGATTTGAATTTTAAACTTTTAAAAGATATATTATGAATATTAAACAATTAAAATTAGAGCACTTTCGCTCTACTATTAAATTTGAACAAATATTTGTCAATTATTTTAAAAATAAAGTCTAATGTGTCATTTTTTTTCAAATGAGGGTAGGGAAGAGAGAGAAAGTGAAATTTTATGAAAATTGTATATTAGACCTCAATTTTTAAAAAACTAACAGATGTTTATTAAAATTTAATTGTGGGGATGAAATTATCCCAACTTTAATTATTTAAGGTTTAAAATATACTTTTTAAAAATTTAGGAATTAAATTACTTTTGGATATATAGTTTAAGGTTCAAATTATATATTAACCCTAAATTTTAATAAGTTTCCACTTTTATCCATTACTAAAGACAAAATGAAGTATTTTTGATAAATTTTTTTAGTATTTAATAAGAGTAGCAATGTGAGAATGAATAAAGAAAATAGTGAAGTATCTTATAAATAAGATTAAAATTAATTTTTTTCTCTGTCTTATAAATACAATAAAAGGAGTATTGAAATTTTATCTACTCCAATCCTCTTTTTTTTTTTTTTCATGTTCTCACTATCGGTGTCTGTTATTATTATTTTTTTTACCCCTCTCATGTCTTATCAATTAAATAACAGAAATAAGTTTGTTGTTTTTAATATTCCGTTTCTTTTTGCATTTTAGCTCGTCTCTTTTTTATTTTTAAAATTTTTTACACCATCCATATTTAAATAAATAGATTTTAAATTTAAAATTTGAATTTAAATTCATCCATTCAAATGCTACCTTAATTTATAACCTATATTGTAATAAATTAAATTTCATTGTGAATGAGACTAGTAAGCAATTTATAAAAATCTTTATAAGTGTTTTTAAAAGCATGCCGTATTTCTAATAAGATTGGTCTCACATAAGCTTTTTCTATTAAAAAAAATCAGACAATTACATACAAAAATAATTAGCAATGAAAAAGGAACGCATAGCAAAATACTAATATGAAATCCTTGTAATGACAAAAATCATCATATATAATACATCAATAAGTTATTAAACAAAAAACAACATAAGTATAAAAAAATTGAGTTTTATATTTTTTTTGGTCAAGTACAAGAATTAGAGTTTATCGATGGTAAAAAAATATCTCTCGAGGTATTAAAAGTAATGAGTAAACTTTCCTTAAGTAAATTACTATATATACATAAGAATTGACGAGAGCTTATATTATTTGCACTAATTTTAGTTGATTTTTCATACATTTTAAATGATTGTAGATTTTCTAATTCGCTCCAAATGTCACTTTTTAAATTAGGAAAGTTGATAATATAAAGTCTAAACCTAAGTAGGGTATATTTTGAGGGTACGACAATTGAGATCAAAAATAAGTTTTCTTTCATGCAATCATGACAAAAAGAGTCTTCTTAAAATAGGGCACAATATATTAGAAGGGAAAAATATATTAGCAAATGAAGATTATTCACCCTCAACTACTTGCTCTTGAACTCGCTTTATGCGCATCAAGTTACTTGATATGTGCCTTAATATTCTGTACAATTTCAGTGTCTTCTTCTCCAGCATTTGCTTCATTATATTCTTCATTTCTTTATCATTTTGTTCAATTCACGTGATTTTAATTGATGCCAATTGCCAGTGCACCATATTTGATTATTATTTATTTAAATCAATTATTCCCTTGCATCAAAGTTGGTCTTATTTTTTATTTGCAAATGAATATATTTAATATGAAATCAAAATATACATGATAAAATTGAAGAAAAAAGAATACTACATAATTGTTACTCCCTCCATTTAAAAATGTAAGATATTTTTTAAAGAGTTGGATGTTAAAAAATGTAAAATATTTTTAGTCTTTCGAGATGTAATCATTACTTTTTATTTCAAAAGTGTCCCTATTAATAGTGATTTTAAATTTATTATAGGGTATTTAATATGGGTAAATATAAAAATATAGGGTTCGTTTGAAAGTAAGTAACTATTTTATTGGGAGTGAGATTCAGTTAAAAATATTTTATATTTTTGAACGGAGGGAGTAATTAATTTTGAAATATAGAAATAATTTTATTAGATTAAAAAGGCAAGTCAATTTAGTAGGCATGTGAGAATTATTTATCAGTGAATTACTTAATTAGCAGAACAAATTCCATATAATGAAATTATTAATTAATTAAGTGAAATAATAACATAAACGGCTTATAAAGTTGAAAATAACATTAACGGCTAGTAAAAAATTTTAACTCAAGAACTCATTAAAAAAAACTCAAAAAAAGAAAAACGGCTAGTAAAAATTAAAGAAGTTAAGAGGAAGAGCCGATGAGGGAATCAGGAAAAGGCTTATAGCCGTTAGATACATCGGTCATCCAACGGCATAGATGCGATAAAGAATTGACCGTTGGAGCTGGTGTCCGCTCGACTCCAAGTGACACACCCTTTTGGTATATAACAATCCTCTGAATGCAGAAATTCCCAAATTTTCATATTCATTTTCAGAACTCAGAACTTATCACCGACAGAAGGAAAAGGATCATCTGAGAGAGAGATAGGAAGGAAGGAGTTGAGGAATTTTGTGTTCTGAATATTGACCGACGGTGGCGACGGACACGGACTCCGACGGAGGAGAGACGCGCAACAGTCGTCTCCAGGTGTTCCTCTAGTCGCTGTTTTCGACTATTGGAGGCGTTTTCGGGAATAACCTTCAAGAGCGGGACGCAGACATGGCTACGGGAGCTTATTTGCCAAATGAACTGCAAAGGGGTATGCGATCTTCTTCGGCTCTTCTTTGAGATTTTATGCAATCTGTTCTTCAACTTCTTTTTTCATGACTTTCTTAGGGTTTTATGACTTCAAATTTTTACTTTTATTTCAAACTAGAAAGCATACTCCTCGACGAGTCTTGTTAAAGTTTCTAGTGCATCTTTTTGCGTGTATCTTTCTGAAAATCAGGGCAAAAAATATTTCTGAAAGGAAAAGCGTTTTGTAGGTGAAAATAAGCCGAAGAATGTAGCAGCAGAAGGACGGAATCGACGTGTTCTCCAGGATATTGGGAATCTTGTGTATGTTTCTAAGCGCATCACAAGGTTTTGTTCTGTCGTTTTCTTATTTCGCTTCGCAAACCCATGTTTTTTAGTTATTAGTTAATAATAGTTTAATTGTTCTTGTTTGTCTTACAGGCAAGAAGCAGACAAGAACAAGGTGAGATATATATATATATATATATATATATATTATTTTGTATTAATGATTAATAATTTTGGAAAGAAATAAACTTTTTTTTTATTTGTGTATCATGTTCCAGAAACCAAGCTTTGCAACAACAAAAATATTAGCAGCAGGGAAGACTGTTCACCCAGAAGAACGTGAAGTTATTATAATTAGCTCTGATGAAGAAAGTGAGGAAGGAAAGGAGAAGGAGAAGAAGAAGGAACCAGGTAAAGCAAGGAATACAAGACAGCACTCAGCTAAGAAGAATGTGAAGACCCTCAGTGCAATCCTCTCTGCTCGAAGCAAGGTATTTCATTTCTTCTTCCTCATCCAAAGCTTCTCTGTTTCAGAACACAAATCTTGTCGTACTGTGGATCTGTGATATTGATATCTCAGAGTGGTGTGATAAATTTAAATGACTGATGAATCTCAGGCTGCTTGTGGACGTACTTACAAGCAAAAGGACCACGTGGTAGACGTTGATGCAGCCGACATTGACAATGAATTGGCAGCTGTTGAGTACATTGACGAACTCTACAAGTTCTACAAATTTGCAGAAGTAATAATCAATGTTCAATGTATTCGTATAATAATGCAACCCTTGACTCTGTCTCTCTTTGATTCAATTAACGTTTGATTTTTGTGAACCCCAGGATGATAGCCGTGTGCATGATTACTTGGGATCGCAGCCTGATGTGAATGCCAAGATGAGAGCAATCCTTGTGGACTGGTTGATAGAAGTACATCGTAAATTTGAACTCATGCCTGAAACTCTTCATCTGACAATAAACATTGTGGATCGCTTCCTTTCCATGAAGGTTGTGTCCAGAAAGGAGCTTCAGCTGGTTGGCATCAGCTCCATGCTCTTAGCCTGCAAATATGAGGAGATTTGGGCTCCAGAGGTACACTTCATTGCAACTACACTGGTGTTTGACTCAATTTATAGCTTCTTAATTGGAATTTCATATATAAAGTATCTGAAAAAGCACCACATATTGCTCATTTGTGTTGTGTAATCTAAACTATCAAAGACATGTTTGCTAATATAAGACTTGAGTAGAAACATGATAATTCATATCATATCTTTAGTCTCTAAACATGATGACATGATGGTAATTTTATACAATTCATTGCATCTAGGTTGATGTTTTACTCAATTTATAGCTTCTTAATTGCAATTTCATGTGTGTGTATATGTATAAAGTAACTGAAAAGGCACCACATATTGCTCAGTTGTGTTGTGTAATCAAAGGTAACTGAAAAAGTACCACATATTGCTCATTTGTGTTGTGTAATCTAAAGTGTCCCAGACACGTTTGATAAGGAGAGTTGAATAGAAACATGATAATTCATATCATATCTTTAGTCTCTAAACATGATGTATGTATGTATATATGCGTATAAAGTAACTGAAAAAGCACTACATATTGCTCAGTTGTGTTGTTTCTAAAGCATCAGACATGTATGATATGAGAGTGACTATAGTAACTGATGTTTTTGCATAATAATGCAGGTGAATGACTTTGTGTGCATATCAGACAACGCCTATAAAAGAGAACAGATTCTGGTGATGGAGAAGACAATCTTGAGGAAGCTGGAATGGTATTTAACTGTTCCTACACCATATGTCTTCCTTGTTCGTTATATCAAAGCCTCTTCTCCCACTGATAAGGAGGTATGTTATTATATTGTTCATTTTGGCTGATCTAAAAGATATTCCAAGTGCCAAATCTTTGTCTTCATTAGTGTTCAACAATTTTTCTTTCTGGCAATGAATTTTTTTATAGATGGAGAACATGGCGCATTTCCTGGCAGAACTGAGCTTAATTCACTATGCCACAGTAATGTTGTATAGCCCTTCTGTTGTTGCTGCTTCTGCTGTGTATGCTGCTCGGTGCACACTTGATAGGAGCCCTTTCTGGACTGAGACTTTAAAACATTACACAGGCTTTTCTGAGGACCAACTAAGGTAGTTACAGTTATTATTATTATTATTATTTTTTTTGGTTTCAGAACACACACACACACACACACCCACCCACACGAAGAGATATATGATTAATGAGCATGTAGCAATGATGTGGCAAACTCATGGTGGTGTAGGGAATGTGCCAAGCTCATGGTGAGCTTTCACTCACTGGCTGGTGAAAGCAAGTTGAAAGCAGTGTACAAAAAATTCTGCAATCCAGATCGCTGTGCAGTTGCTCTTCTTCCCCCAGCAAGAAGCTTGTTAATTCCACATGAACAGATTTGATATTTTAGCCTGGGAAATTTCTGAGAATATGATGGATATAGTAGTAATATGGTTTTTATGTAGTACAACATCAGTGTTGTTTAGGAGGAGGATGATGTCTGTAATGATCACTAGGTTTCTTGGTTTGGATTTTGCTGTGTGAAAGAAACTTCAGTATTTGGTTTCTGGATAATTATTGCCAGAATGAAGGAGAAACGTATATGCTTTTCTCCATTGCATTACGCTAATGAATTTCATTGATATGTGTAATTTTGTCCCAAAAAGAGGTTTACAAATTGAAATGAACGGAGTATTAAAATTATCGTTAAAATCGACAACTATATAACAATAATTTAAAAATAAATTAAGATGGAATTTCATAAAATTATAATTACAATGTGACCGGAATTCCATGTACCCCAGTGGCACCTGTAAGTGGCCTGTACCTGCATGTGAAAAAAAAAGGCTTAGCTTATAGGATTTATGGAATTCTCCAAGTATAAAACGATTTGAACTTTTTTTAATCCAGATCATACATATAAGGAAATGTAATTTAATATTTTATCTTGATTAAAAATAAAAGACAAAAGTTCACATTTAGTATTCAAATTCGATATAAAATTTTAATTTAATCTTTTAAATTTTAAAGATAAAAGATTAATTTTTAATCTTAATTCAAATAATTTTTGCTATCGATAATTGTATTTACAAAAAATTAATTTTGATATCAACATTTAAGAGTTTTGCTATTACGCACTGTTTCATTAATAGCAAGAGACAAATTAAAAAACTCATTTAAAATGGAGCCAATATCACCATAAATCAAAACATGCAAGTTTATGCTCCAAAAAGTGATAGGACTAAAGCTAAATGACTCTTTCCTAATGAAAGATGAATTAGATTAGATACAAATAGCTTTATTAATTCTTTTGGTACAACTCGGTCTCATACGGAACAAACAAAGCAATTGAAACAAAAATTTTTTCAAATGTCTTAAATATTTTAAATACAGTTATTGAGCTTATGAGCATTTTAAAAGTTTAACAAATTCAACAATACTTTGATTCAATTGAAACTTTTTCATTAATTCATAACGAGTTTCCTATCAATCATTCATTTTTTACTACTATTAATTAAATTAAATATTTTATTATGTAAAATTAGACTGTTACTTTTGATTATGTACCCATCAAATCTCTATCAATAATTTTAATATATTTGTTTTAAACATTGCCCCTTTTAATTATAAGAATTTTTTGTACTGACATGATTCAGCATGTCATGTCGGTTAACACAGTCTTTTCACGGGCTTCCATTCAAAAAAAAAAAAGAACATGCAAGTTTACCAAGCCGACGGAAAATTTTTGAAACGGCAGTAGTGTCTGCGAAGCGAAACTCGCGCCGAGGGGAAATACCGGAAGAGCCAACACCCCCACAGAGACGATCGATTTCTCTCCGATTTGAACACACGCAGAGACACTTGCCAATTTTCCATGATCGTTAGCCATGTTCTCAAGAAAAATCCTCTAACCTCAATATTTTCTTCCCCCATCAAAATCCAATTCCTCTCATTCTGTAGTGCCTCCTCCTCGCTTTGCAATGTTCAGATTCAGACTGACCAAAATCTTCTCGAACTCTGCTCTCTCTCCCACAACCTACCCCAAATCAGGCAAGTTCACGCCTTTGGGATTCTCACTAGCTTCCTCCCCGCTAGTGTCTCTCTCGCTGCTTCCCTCATTCTTCAATACGCCTCATATGGAGATTCCAGAACTTATCGGTTTCTTTTTCAGCAAACTGTGGGGCTATGTCGCAATGCTTTCTTCTGGAACACCCTTGTACGGGCTAACTCCATTGCTGGTGTTCGCGATGAGTTCAGGACCTATAACCAGATGGTTCGTTCAGGCATTCGACCTGATGGACATACCTTCCCTTTTGTTCTGAAGGAGTGTTCGGATTTTTCGGAGCTTCAAAAGGGTATGGAGGTTCATGGTGTTGCGTTTAAGCTGGGTTTTGATGGGGATGTTTTCGTTGGTAATACCCTTATGCTGTTATATGGTAATTGTGCACATATAATTGATGCAAAGAGGGTGTTCGATGAAATGTGTGAGAAGGATAAGGTATCGTGGAATACCATAATAGGTTTGTCTTCTCTTAATGGTTTTAACGCGGAGGCACTTGAGTACTTTAAAGGAATGAGTGTGATGTCTGGCTTTAAACCGGATTTGGTTAGCATAGTCAGTGTCTTGCCAGTCTGCGCTGACACTGGAGATCAGATAATGGCAAGTCTAGTGCACTGTTATGTTTTGAAGGTTGGTCTGTCGGGCCACGTAAAAATTGAGAATGCATTGATAGATGCTTATGGGAAATGTGGGAATGAAAAAGCTTCAAAGAAAGTGTTTGATGAGATGGTTGACAGAAATGAGGTTTCCTGGAATGCAATTATCACTAGTTTTACTTATACTGGGCGCAATATGAATGCCTTGGAAGCTTTAAGGTTGATGATTGATTCAGGAATGACACCAAACTCAATTGCCATTTCTAGTATGCTGCCAGTTTTAGGAGAATTAGGACTTTGTAAACTGGGAAAGGAAATTCATAGCTTTTGTTTAAGGATGGGGTTTGAATCTGATGTTTTCGTTGCTAACTCGTTGATAGATATGTATGCAAAAACAGGGTATCCAAGGATGGCATGCTCTGTCTTTCACAACATGGGTGTCAGAAACATCGTATCTTGGAATGCTATGATTGCAAACTTAACTCAGAACAGGTTGGAATTTGTAGCTTTAGACCTAGTAAAGAAAATGCAAACTTATGGTGAAATTCCCAACTCTGTAACCTTCACAAATATTCTTCCAGCTTGTGCAAGATTAAGTTTCCTGCACACTGGCAAGGAACTACATGCCAGGATAATTCGCGCTGGATATGCCTTTGATTTGTTTATTTCTAATGCTCTGACTGACATGTATTCAAAATGTGGGGGCTTAGGTCTTGCTCAAAATGTCTTTGACATATCTGTTAGAGATGAAGTTTCCTATAATATACTAATTATAGGCTACTCTCAGACGATTGATTGCTTGGAATCGCTAAATTTGTTTAAAGAAATGAGACTTTCAGGAATGAAGCCAGATAATGTTTCCTTCATGGGTGTAATATCAGCCTGTGCAAACCTGGCTGCAATAAAGCAAGGCAAAGAGATTCATGGCTTTCTCGTAAGGAAGCTTTTACACACTCATCTTTTTGCAGCAAATTCACTCTTGGACTTGTATACAAAATGTGGTCGAATAGATATTGCTTCTAAGATATTTGAATGTATTGAAAACAGAGATGTAGCTTCATGGAATACAATGATTTTGGGCTATGGAATGCTAGGTGAATTGGACACTGCAATTAACTACTTTGAGGCAATGAAGGAAGATGGTGTGGGATATGATTCAATTTCATTTATTGCAGTTTTATCAGCTTGTAGCCATGGTGGGCTACTTGAGAAGGGAAGGAAATACTTTATGGAGATGAAGGATCTTAATATCGAGCCAACACACATGCACTATGCTTGCATGGTTGATCTCCTTGGAAGGGCTGGTCTTATGGAAGAAGCAGCAAACCTTATTAGGGGACTCCCTATTGCACCAGATGCTAATATATGGGGTGCACTGCTTGGAGCATGCAGGATATATGGCAATGTAGAATTGGGACGTTGGGCTGCTGAACATTTGTTTGAGTTAAAGCCTCAGCATTGCGGGTATTATATACTTCTTTCAAATATGTATGCAGAAGCTGAAAGATGGGAGGAGGCTGACAGAGTTCGGCAGTTGATGAAATCAAGGGGAGCGAGGAAGAATCCTGGTTGTAGCTGGGTTCAAATTGGAGACCAGGTGCATGCATTTCTTGTTGGCGAGAAAATTGAGGGCTTAGATTCTGGCGTTTGGCTATCAGAATGTTGAATTTCCTGTTGTGGGGACTTGGATCCTCTCATTGTCTTGGTAAATTGACTGTTTAATGTTTCGTGTGAGAGAGAGAGAGAGAGAGACAGAGAGCGTGTGTGTAAAATTTAGATGCACATTGTAAAATCTACTGCATAAGTGGATTATACAGAAAGGAATCTCTCTCTCTCTCTCACAAAATTGATATAGTCAATTTTCTAAGAAATTGAGAAAGATCCAAATCTTTTGGCTTATTGCTGTGACCTCTCTGGAGCAATGTCTAAGAGATAGGATTGTATAGTTGAAGGCATTTTGGTTCCATGAGCTAACCGTATTACTTTATACTCTTTCGGTCCTCTTTATAAATTATTTCTATCAATCTCATTAATACCAATGTTCCTATATAACAAATTTAAAAGGTGATGTTATATTACTTCTTTTCTTTCACAAAGAGTAATTTTAAAAATATTTTTCAAATATTATTTAAAAAGCCATACCATAATTTATAAATGAGAGTAAATAGATCTTCTAAAATTTGCCTTATAAATGAGATCGGAGGGAGTATTTTTTTTGGCCAAATAAACCACATTCTATTTACTGGCATGAAATATTTCAAGACGTACGAGGCATGTATAGTAGTTGTAACATGGAACAGAACACAAGGCAAGCAGGGATTTTTGGTTTGATTTCCTTTAATTAATTAATTAACTCCGCCTATGTTTATAGCCGGTCCCAAGCCCGGGTAAAGGAGGAGGGTTGTGTTAGGCCATCAACAGCCAATGTAAAAATTTGTTGAATCTATCATGAACATGGACAATAGACGTTATAATGTTAATGCTAGGTCGTTGCCCGTAAGTAACGCGCTGCATGGCTCGAGTACAGTGATAAGTGAGTTAGAGCCGCTGCATCGGCGCCCGGATGTAGTGTTAAATGAGCAAGGGCTACCGCGTCATTCTGGACGCACGCGGCTAAAGAAGTTAGTCCATAAGAGCAAAATTAGATTTGGTACTTGGAATGTTGGGACATTAAATTGTAAATCTGTAGAGGTTGTAGGGGTTATGATTCAAAGGAAAATCAATATCCTTTGCTTGCAAGAAACAAAATGGCGTGGAGAAGGAGCTAAGGATATTCAAGGTTTCAAACTTTGGTATACAGGAAAAGTAAGTGCACGCAATGGAGTAGGCATCATTATAGATAAGGAGTGGAAGAAGAACGTTGTAGAAGTTAGCAGAATTGGAGACAGAATTATTTCTTTAAAAATGATAATTGGACGTGAGACTGTTAATATTGTTAGCGCTTATGCGCCGCAAGTCGGGACAGAAGCCAGTCTTAAGGAA